GCACACGCTGGCTGCACACGCACACGCTGGCTGCACACGCACACGCTGGCTGCACTCATTGTCCCCACACCCATCTACTCAAGCCACATCCATTCAAAGTTTTATAACTCCACCACCCCCAAGAAATTCAGAAGTGGAGCTCTCCAGCTGGTAATTTCCTAAAGCGTGTAAGTTTCTCTTCAGAGAAACAGCTGAAGTGGGGTGGCCGAAGCAGAAGTTATGCTTACAATTAGTGAAGAGCTTACTGGCTCCTGGAGAGAATGGGGATCAGGCAAGGAATGGGATGGGGTTTTCCCAGAGAAGAGTGATGGAGGGTGAGGGAAGCCTGTGCACTTAAGGGGGAGTAAAAGTGTACCCCCAAAGTTATACACAGCCATGTAAACAACTGACAGATTTAATTTTTAAAATACCCATGCCTAGCTACATGCTACCCTGGTTTATGGGAAATTTTTAGCATCTATTTATTTTTAAAAACCCTCCTAATTTATATTCTGAAATTTGCAAAATTATTCTAATGTTCAACTGGAAAGTAATCTTTAAACTAAGAAAATTCTAGAGGGAAAGAAAGGAAAGGAATGTGCAGATTTGTAGGCTTAACGATGTATTATAAAGCTGCAGTGATAAAAGCAGTTTAATACTGGTGGAAAGGCTGCTGGCTCAGACTCTGCTGAGGTGGGAATCTGATATTTAAAGGTTGTTCAGTAAGTAGGTTAGGAAAACTGACTAGCCATTTGGAAAAAAACTAAAAGTAGGAATGAGCTCAACTTTTTTTTTTTTTTTTTTTAAAGAAAACTACATATGCATAGATAAACCCAAGTGGACACAAATGTAGGTGAATTAACGCTGTAGTCTTGAGGCAAAGGGGTTTCTAAGCATGGCTCCAGGACGCTTTGGTGATTCCTTTAGAGTAAATCCCTGCTGACAGTTGACTTGGTTGGGGTTCCGGCAAGAAACAGATGGCACGCTCCAATGGAGGCCTCCACAGGTGTGCTCCTCAGGTGTGGAGAAACCCAAAGGGACAGTGCAGCAGCCCAGGGCTGGCACAGTGGAGAGCTGTCACCCCTCCCCAAGGGGCGGAAGCTGGGAGCAGTTGCTGGAGAGCAGCTGGCTGTGTGGAGAGGCCACCTGTGGCCTTCAGGAGTGGAGGGTACCCTGAGGCCTGCGTGGGCCTCACAGACCAGCCTCCCAGGGCTTCAGGAGGAGCAAATCCAGGGGCACAGACGGAAAGTGCGCAGCAGGGCTCAGAGGGATGTGACCTTCTCCACACCTTCAACACGTGGCGAGCTTGCCTGTCAGAAATGCTAGCGCCAGTTCCTTTACCCCACACCCCAGCCAGCTGTGGGTTTTAACCTGACTATCTGCTCCTCGCAGGGTCTGGTCAAATGCTGCTCCTCAGAGACCCCCACCTGAGCCTCCTTAACGAAAGCCTCCCTCAGTCCCCCAGGCCCCCTCTGTCCCACTTCCCACCTTCCTTTGTCTGTAGCACTAATCACTCTAAGTTACATTATTTGTCCACTTACTCATCTGCCTTCTCTCTCTGAATCCCGTGAGAACAAGAGCCTTATCCAAATCTCCCACAGCTCTCTGTCAGGATAGAATGTGCTCAGTAAATGTTGGTGAAAGAAATATGTCCCAACCCCGTGACCATGGTTCCCTGAGAGTATGTTGACGCCTAACGTTTACCAGGTTACTAACGTCATCATTGTTTACTTCTCTTCCCTAGCTCCCCTACTTTATGAATGAGCTAACTCTGACGGAGCTTGACATGGGGGTAGCCGTGCCAAAAATCCTTCAGGCCTTCAAGCCTTATGTTGATCACCAAGGTAACTCTTAATTGACTTTAGAAGGAATTAGCCATTAATGAGTGTTAAAATGTTTCCATCCTGCAGAGTGAATACCAAGACTCTGTCTTGGGAGGGAACTTGGACTCTAACATGCTTCTATTATTTGATGTGGAGTATCTTGTTCTTAATAGTGACTGACAGCTGTCAGCGGATGAGCGGTAGATCAGGAACCACTTCTCCCAGGCCCACAACCTCCAGGCCCTCACAGGTGCTCCTCAGGCCCAGAGGCACTGCGCCAGGCAGTGAGCTGAGCTTCCCTGTGCTTCGGGAGGCCGCCCCTGCGCTAGATGGCTGCAGGCAGGGGAGGGGCTGGGGAGGAGCTGGGTGGCAGCCTCCCCTCTGCATCTGTGCTGGCCAGCCGGCCTGTGTTCACATCTTTATGTCACCCCAATTTCTAGCTTGCAGATTCTTTGACCTTCATGTTTCTCATTTTTGGTCCCTTGCTGCTCCTCATAGGTGCCCAGTAAGTGTTTGAACAATGAAGAGTAGGTTGTCAGGCTGTATTTTCAGAAATAGTTGCTCGAGGAAAGCTCTCAGATTTGATTTTTAGAATTTAGAATTTTTAGAATTCTGACATTTATATCTGCTTTTGTGGGTGGGGAAGAAAGAGTTGATCAGAATGTGTGAAGTGTTTACATAAAATGATGGCGGCAACATTTATAACTATCTTGTGGCACATGGTTTTAAGAGGACTGTGAGGGAAGCTTTAGTATGTGGGACTTTGGTGGAAGGTGCGAGGCAGCCAGGCACGCAGAGCTCAGGAGAGCAGGAGTCTCGTGTTGTGGAAGCTTCTGCTTCTCCGCGATGTCCTTTCCCAAAGGAGCACTCCCACCGCTCAGGAATCACATTGTTTTCCAGAAGGCTTGGAACGAGGTGGGGGAGAGGAGGAGGGCAGCTTTCCAGGAGTGACGCTTGCTTCGAAGTCAGTGTTTTTTGACGCTTGGCCACCCTCTGCACTCTGTCTCTGTGTGGCTGTCGGACGGCTGTTGAACCCATTTAGTGAAGTCATTTTCTGTGTTGTATATCACGTAAATACGAAGAGAGCAACACAGTTAACAGCTCAACAAATCCCTCTAGTGATATTTCAGCCGTCAGTGAGCTCGTGCTTCCATTTTTGTTTTTATCAACACACTGATGTCAGGGAAACATAGATAGACCACAGTATCTGCAGAGCCAGAAGTCTGTCTCCCTGTTGGGGTCACTTACTGTAACCATGTAGTTTGATCTGTACCAATGAGGCACGTGAGTGTGCTGCTTGGGTTTGCTGGTTTACTAAAAGGTAAAGGTTTTTTGCGATAGTTTAACCAGAGTTTGTGTAATCACATGTGGAGCTTTAAAAGATGCTTCATGTATGTGTTAAGTGCACAGTGAGGACCGAGTCCCCCTGGAGTCGGAGGGTGAGGCCGCCTGCCTTTGTGCTGGTGGGCTCTGGCTTGTTCTTTGCTCCTTACTCTTGAGGCGTCATGACGAGCTGGTAAATGATCAGCCAGCATCAGCCTCCAGAGTGTGGGGCTTAAAGGAAGCAAATAGCGTGTGGACATTAGCAGGCTCTTATCTCACGACCTTCCCTTGTTGACTCAGCCGCCTTTCCAGCCACAGCAGGGTTTGCAGCATCTAAGGAGCGACCCAGTCCCCAAACCTCTCACTCTGCAGCCCCTGAGGCAGCTTGGGTTAGGCTTTCAGTGAAATTCACAGACAGTCTCAAGTCTCCCAAGCACCTCTGGAGCAGTGAGTGAGACATTTCACACTATAGATCAAAGCTTTGTGGGTTTTTAATCCTTGTGAGGCTTATTTAACTCCTTTCAGGGCAAGTTGCCTTGAACTGCCTGCTTATATAACAAGGGAGGAGGGGCTGTCCCTATGGAAGGGAATGATAAAGATATAAAGTCTGTGGGTTTTAAAAGTTTGATTGAATTTTCCCAAGTCTGCAAAGGATGCATGTGATGGTAAAACAGAAATGAATTCAGAGGAGATGTGTGTTTTGGATTGCATTGTTCTAAGGGACATGTTCCTTTCAGGGAAATCAGGACTTGCTGAAACTCACTTTGAAAAGCCTGGTTAAAAAAAGAAAACAAAGCCTGGAAGAAGTCTTCCAGGGCTCAAGGAGGCCTCTCCCGGGGAGCCCCCCGCCCCCAAACTTTTTTTTTTATTAACATTTCTTGTGTGTGTGTGTGTGTTGGAGACCTGTGGATAGGAGGGGCGTTCAGGCCATATTGTAGAGGGTCACCCTGTCCCTGGGGTGCAGCAGAGAGCGGATCTCTGAACGCAGCTTTGGGGCTGGAGGGCCAGGCTCACAGCGCTGTGTGGCCTTGGGTAGGTTTCTTAACCTCTCTAACTCCCCTCTCAGGTGGGGATACTGAGCACGCCGCCTTGGTGGTTTGTTGAGAGTGAAGCTTGAGCGGCACGGGGAAGCCAGGTGCCTGCGTGCCCAGCTCCCATGAGCTGCCCACTGCGGCCCCCTCGCTCCTGCTCGTGCGGAGCAGAAGGGGAGTGACTGGGCAGCTGGCCAGGCCCTCCTGAGTGACCAGAAAGAGGAAGGTCGTCCTCAGCTATAGTGGTCTTGTCACGGCAGGAGCAAAGGCTGATTGCCCTGAATGAAATCATCCGTGATAGCCACCGCAGGCCCAGGCCACACAGCCAGTTTCTAGTGGAGGGTGAGATGGTGAGATGACCACCTTTCCCAGGTGACTGGGAGGATGGCGCAGGTCTGTCCCTTGAGAATGGACTGTGCCCCTCGACTCTGCCCATACCCTAGCCACGGGTGTGCCCGGTCCTTGCTTCCACATTGGCCACCGGGAGGGCCCCGGCGTGTCCTCCCCTCCTCTGCTGCCTCACCTCCTCCCGGCCCCCATAGGCTGTGTCGCCAGGGCCTGGCCTCTGGGGTCTGCCACGCGCTTTCCAGTTTTATTAGCTCTGTCAGGAGCAGCAGGAGCAGGAATGCTCCTTCACTCAGCAGATCCTCATGTGGAGAAAAAGGAAATGTTTAGAAAGGACAGAAAAGGAAACCTCTTCTCCCACTACTCAAAGATTGGTACATTCTCTCCAAATCTTTTCCCCTTTATGGATTAAAAAAAAAAATCAGCTCTTTTTTGAACTCTACAAGTTTTGGGGAGATTGCCTGGTTAGATTTAAGGGCGCTGGGTCACCTGCCTGGGCCCTGGCAAGTGTTAAAGTCCAGAGGCCCCTCACCCCAACCTGCACCCTGTTCTGCAGCTCCCAGGCTAATACCAGAGGCCCCCAGTGAGCCCCGGCTCTGTCTTAGGGGTCCGCCCTTCGCCGCCCAGGGCGAGGCCTGTTTCTTCGTCCAGAGGGTGCAGTGGCCGTGTGTCCTCTGCCAGGCCGATGTGGTGATGGAATGTCCGTACACAGCACAGACGGGCGGGGGTGGGATCGAGCCACCGCTGCCGTCATCAGGACACGTAGTCAGTCGGGAAATCTCTTGAAGGGCTCGGTGAGGACCCTCTTCTGTCGCTCAGGATTTCACCTTTCACACCAGGGATCGGGGTATCAGAGTGGGGTCCGTAGGCCTGATGTCAAGGGCAGAACAAGGATGTGGACCTTGGGTGCAGATGACCCATTTAGTCTCCAGGGCATTGCTGAGGGAACCGTGAAAGAGAGTTGAGCCAGTTTTGCCATTCCCAGATGCCCGCTCATGCTCATGACCCGTGGCACTGCAAGGTCTGGGTATCTGTGTGGAGGCCGTGCCACAGAAACTGGGACCTTGACTGTCTACCTCTGGTGACACTCCTTCCACTCTCCCCAGCCCTTGCCCGCCACCTCGACCCCATGCTGGGACCAAAGTAACTGTAGTTTATTCTGGAATTCTGCAATTCCAGGGGTTAGTGTAGAAAGTTGGAACCAGCCTGGCTGTGACCTGTCCTCTCCTTCCTGCTTCCCCCTGTCAGAGGCAGATTTAGGAGGGCAGCTGCTGGGGGTGGACCCTTGCAGGCCAGACCGGGGTTTGGCGCTGACAGGAGCAGCACCCTCCGACCAGACCAGGCTGTGGCAAGTGAAAAAAGCACCTTCTGTGGCCCGTGCTTGGGATGGGAGAGAGAAGACTCTGACTTGTGACTTTGCCAACCCTGAAAGGCAGAGCTGTTTCTGAGAACAGGTGCAGGTCGACAAAGCTAAAAGCGACGTCTGTCTTAAAGACACATGCAAATACCCGGATGCAAGTCGTGGTGTTTGTGTGAGCAGCGTGGCTGCAGCATGCCTGCCAGGAGCAGAGTGATCACGCGCGTGCTCGTCGAAGAGCGGAATCACTCAAACACTTGTTCTTAGTAATATATTGTTAAATGTCCCACGTTAAAAAGAGTTTTGTTCTGTGGATGTCGAATGTGGACTCTGTGTGCACATCGGTCATGGGTAGGTACAGGTGGGGGCGGTGCAGGGCGGCTGACACAGGGCCAAGCCCAGGGGAGCAAGGACTTTGGTTCTTGACTCCTTTTGGTAACCTACGGGCCAGACCAGAACCTTCTGCTTATTTTAGCTGGACAAGATAGTGCACTGAAAGGGTCATGGTAGGCCTCTTCCTGAGGCCCTGGGCTCCAGGAGGTTGAACACTAGGGAGAGGGCCGCTTGTCTCTGGTCAGACACAGACTGGGTTTGCCATCTTCAGAGGCCTGAGCCATCTCCACTCTTCAGCAGTAAATCTCCTGGGGGACGTGGGGCCGCCCCAGATCTGGTAGCTTGCACTAAGAACTCAGTGGACATCTCTGGGGGGGGGAGGAGCTGTAACTGCTGCTGTCTCCCTGGGTTCTGCTAAGGGGTCCTGGCCTCCTGGAGCTGGGAAGGGGAGAGCAAGTCTCTGGGCTCCTCACTGCTCCTTGCATGAAGGCAGGCTGAACTTGTTTTCCTTGTCAGCTGTTTTTCCAGTTTTTGAAGATGAAGGGCCAGTTTTTTAGGGACGTATTGGTAGTTAGATGCTACCCTCCACCACTGGACACTCTTCACACGAGGACCCCTGTGAGGAGGAGACCTTGGCGTGGACTGGGCGTGTGCCCTCTGCCAAGTCCACTTGTGGGAGCCCGGGCCTGCAGTGTGATGTGGGGCCGTGGAGGCGTTTAGGTTTGGATGAGCTGTGCGGGAGGGGTCCTGTGGTGGAGTCTGCTCTCTCCTGCCCTCCCTCTGCTGTGTGAGGGTGGCCGAGAAGGCAGCTGTCTGCACCTTGACCTGGGACTCCCAGCCGCGGTGACTGTGGGAGATAAGTCTGTGGCTTAAGCCACCCAGCCTTGGCTGGTGGGTACCGTGTCCCTGCAGATTGAGAAAAGACTCGCCGTGTCGTGCCCTCCATAGAGGCCTCTCGGACTGACGCCGCACTCCTCAACTTTTGGTGTTTGTCCCTGAGCACTACCAAGAGCAGGTGGGTAAAGAAAGCGCCTTTCAGGAAACGCCTCACTGAATGAAGCGTGAGCAGTTGTCGTGAGCACGGAGGGAAGGCCGTCACTACGTCCGTCTGGAGGGGCGCGCTGGGCCGGGGGCCGCAAGCGCCTCCACGGGTGGCTCAGGGCCTTTGTCCCCGCGGTGTCGTTGCAGCCCCTACTTTCTGGTGACTGTTAATTTCCTCTTCCCATCTTGCCAGGCAGGAGCCTCCTGACTCCTGGTTATGTAACCCGTTGGTCTCGGCTTCAACTTGTGTGTGCGCCAAGGTGCTCCAGGCGCTTTCGCCTGCTGAATCATTGTCACAGAAACAGGTTTTTCTTTGCACCTAATGCTAAAATAGCTTCTTCACCCTCTTCTCAATGCAGCCACATCATATGAGAGTAATTTGTTGGATTATTTGCAGTTTACATCTTGATTGACAAGTTCTCAAGCCATTGCTGACCCTTTCGTTTTGTTCTCTGAGAACCAGGGCTGAACAAGGCCTCAGGGGGGCTCCTACAGTGCCAGGAGACAGAGGCCGGATCAATGCCCACATTTTGTATCCTCTCCACTCCAGAGGGGCTTTGATGTCATCATGCAGCCTCTCCCCTCTTGATCCTGCGGCTCCTCAGGTCTGGTCCTGTCTGCATGGCCACAGCTGTCAGCTGGGCCCTGGCAAGGCATCTTGGAAGTGAGGCAGTGGGCTGGCGCTCAGCCGGGCTGTATGGGTGCTGGCCGCCTGTCGCCCTCCCGCAAGGGCACTGAGGCCTCCCTGGTGCTGATGGGAAGGCTCTGTTCGGAGGCCAGGGCATCCAGTGGAAGTCAAGTCCCAGTGCCTGTGACGGGGCTCCGTAGCTCCGCCCTGAGCCTTCTTCCCACCTCAGCTCCAGGAAGGGAGCAGCCCGGTGGCTGGGGAAGACCAGCACCGGCCTGAGCTTGTGCATATCCCTGTATCCAAAACAGACAAACCTTCCACCTGATGAGAAATAAACTGGTGCCTTTCATTCAACAGCCCTCAAAAGCAGTGCGCGCTATTAGTATTTATTGGCCCCACTAGGATTTTCACAAGGAGTCATTGTCTGAATATGTGCAGCAACCAAGTAGTTGAGTCTGTTGATGCTCTGAGAAAGCTGGAGGTAGAATGCAGGGACAAAGAGCTTTCTAATCATTCTGTGTATATTGAGTTTAAATTCTATTAATAGCTAGCCCTTTGCCCTCGTCTTCTTTCCGGTAGAAGTGATTAATGACTAAATGTCTGTGTTAAAGCAGATGTGTCCTTTATTTCCAGTAACCGTGACTTTGAAGAACAAGCTAATTAATGATTTTTAACTGCTTAATGTACATAAGAACGTAAACAGTTTTTGAGTGGCCGCAAAGAAGACAATCACAATTGATTTGCCTATCACTTAACTAACCAGGTTATTGTCAGCGATTGTAATAAAGCAAATCTGTTGAAAACAAACTGGAAAGGACCCTGCCTTTAGTGAGAGTTACACCCTGAGTGCTCCGGAGGTTAAGGCAGAGCCTTTTTCTGAAGCTGGTCATGAGAGGGGTTGGTTATTTACTGTAATTGCTTGAAAATGCTGCGGCTGGATGTGAACAGTGGTTTTAGATTAATTTCCTGCTTCCTTTTAGATGTTGTCATTTATCTTGCGAGGATCCATAAACACTTATTAACATTTAAACACCCATTTGAAGGTTTGCGTTGTGACTGAAAGCCCAAGAACTACTGTGGGGCTCAGGCTCTGAACAGTCACAGCACAGCCTGTCCTCCTGCTGACGGGCCCTTGTGGAAGGCCCTGAGCGAGCGCCCCACTGCGGTGGCTGTCCCTGTGAGACCATACACTCTCACTGATGTTAGGGTCGTTTCTGAGAAATGGGTTTTTAAAATTGGGTCACCGGACTCTGGGAAGTTCACTTGGTAACTTCCAAAAAGAGAAGTTCTAAAGTTTTTGCCATGACCCCCATCACACCATGCTGGGTCTGGGCCTTTGTGCTTGCCTCTCCCAGCCAGCAGCACAGGGTCTCAGCCCCCTGAGACGAAGGCCCCACCCCCTCTACCTCTCTGGGCTGGCCCTGGGTCAAGCCTTTTCCTTCTGGGAGTGAGCTTTCTTCCCAGGTGTGAGAAGAATCCCGACAACAGGACCTCCCACCACTTTAATGGACAGGGACACGCTGGCCACTTGCCAGATGCCTGAACCAGTTCTGGAAGCTTTTCTTCCACTCTTCTCTCACAGGTGTGGGTAGCTCAGGCCTCATGTATATGTGTAGATTTTCTATGTGATGTTTACTTTGATGCTTTAAAATAGAAATTTTTGACTGTCATTTGTAGTTGTGTTTTTCTGGGGGGAAAAATGTCTCTCTTTTTCACCATTTCTCCAGGACTGTGGATCGATTTGGAAATGTCCTACAATGGGTCCTTTCTGATGACTCTCGAGACCAAAATGAATTTGACCAAACTAGGTAAAGAGCCTCTTGTTGAAGCCCTGAAGGTTGGAGAAATTGGCAAAGAAGGGTAAGGGGCTATATGAATTTACTAATCCAATCCCAGGGAACCAACCTCTTCCACCAGCCTTTGAAAAGCAGGTTTGAGGTGCAGTAGTCCCGGGGATTGAGTGGACATCCACAAAAGTGCTTCTGGACCACATAGGGTCCTAGAGATCCCTAGTTTCATCCCTCACAGACCAGGGTCCCCCTGCTCACACTGCTCACGAGGCCCAGTGTTGACTAGCTGTGAACGTGGAGGCAGACGCACACTGGCAGGCGAGCTGGTCTGCACCGGAGACTCCTCTCTCAGAAAGCCCCTCCTTCAGCTCAGCCACAGAGAGCAGTGCTGGGCCGGCTCGGCTCCCCCAGAGCCTGCTGCTTTCACCACCAAGTCAGAATTATTTATAATGAAGCGATTGATTTTGCAGCTCCTGGAGTGTTTTGAGAAACCTTTTCCCCAAATTATACAATATTGATTTACTAAGTAAATTCCTTTCTTTGTAGAAAATATGGCATCTGCTGCCCAGAGTCTGTCTGACTTAGTAAACATTCCATTTTTTTAGACAACTAATAAAGATTGATTTTTTTTTCATGAATGCCTAGAGTGGACGAGTTGGAGCTTTTGTTTGCCCAAACACCTTAATGATACTGCGTGCGGCTACACAGCTAGAACAGGTTACTATTTCTGCCAAACTGACAGTGTGGAGCCCGAGTCTCACATCTGAGCTGCCTGGCAGGGAGGGGTGGAACAGTGGCAGGGAGACAGCCCAGCCAGCCCGATGCAGGTGCTTGGATTTTTGCTCAGTTATGACACTGACCTGCCACTTCTGCTCACACTTGTGGTAGTAGCAGGTGGGGGGAGCTGGGTCACATATTTGAGAATATTCTTTTCCTTAGATGATTCTGACTTATTCCGGGATCCTTGATGAAATGTTCCTAGTTTAATAAGCGGAGAATTCACCTGTGGTATGCAAACTAACCTGAATCTATGCTATTTCCTTTTCATTTTTCTGCTCTTTGTTAAAATGTGTGTGGACTCGGCAATCTGTGGATTGTGCTTTCTGGTGAGTGGTATTTACCAACCCTCCGTGCCTTGCGTCCTCCCCTGTGAGTGCCAAGCCTTGTCCAGTCAGTCCCCTGTGATGCCGCTGAGAAGCTTGTCCTTTCACCATTTCCTGGTCAGCGGGCACAGTGTGGGGGTCCGCGTGGTGAGGGGGCGCTCCTGAAAGGGACAGTCGCCCAGCTCCCTGATTTGAACTAGGTCCTGACCTGGTCTCTGTCAGGCTATCACCCTCAGGGTATGGCATGACCCCCACCCCATCTGGCACAGTAGTCCAGCCTTAAGATGCCAGGGCTGTAGGACCAGCTGCCTAGAAAACGGAGCCCCTTGGGGAAGCTGTCTCGGGAGAAGTCAGCTAAACGGAGCACGATGGAGCAAACCAGCCAGAAACCTTTGTGCCAGGGCCCTTTCAGTGGCGGCTTGTGCTGGGACAGTCACTGGGACCCCACAGGCTAGAGCCTGGTCCCTTGGGCATTCACACTCACTGCCACTCCTGCGGCTCTCCTGGCACAACTTCAGGGGCATCAGTTCTGAGCAGGTGGAGCCCAGGCATGTTTCTAAGCTGGCAAGGCTGCTCTGGACGTCATGAGAACGTCTGCTCTAGGCATATGATGGTGTTACGTTGAACTTGTAATGTGCTTTTTTAAAGGACCATTTCCCCCTAGTAGAGTCTGATTTAAAATGTTGTTTTTTGTTTTTTTGGTTTTTTTTTGCTTTTCCTGCCAAGGTTTAAATTGTATGTTGGTATGTAAGTGACTCTCCCTTAATTTTAAAAGCAAGGGAAAATAAAATCCCAAAATGCTTTCTTGGGGAGGAAGATCTAGAAAATTGGAATCATCCAGAGGCTAAATGCGAGAGGAGCCCCAAGTCAGTAGCCGAGTGGCGTTTCCGAGCATGTCATCTTGGCGCCGACGTTTTCCTTAAGAGCAGAGTCTCTGAGCTGGCCCTCCGCAGCCCAGCCTCACTGCTGTCCACAGACGTGTGCCCTGCCTGGCACAGCCTCTGCTGTGGCACGTGCCAGTGAGCATGCCCTTTGGCGCCTCTGCGGAGATGCTGTGCCACCCAAGACCCCTGCGTCCCGGCGGGCAGTCGGCTCAGTCTTCACGTCGTACCCTGAGGTGCTAGTGAGGAGCTGAGGCTCCGCCGTGTGTCCTCGCGAGGCCCTCCCCGTTGGCGTGTGGTTCACGTGGACACTTTTTTCCGTTTGTCCTTACATTTCCCTGTACCTTGTTCTTTACCGTAGTAAATGTCAGTTTGGCAGTCAGGTTCTGACAGTGGAATTCAGGTCGGGGCTACCTGACTAACCTGACCCGGGGTGGGGGGGGTCGAAAGGATGAAATTCGCTGCCAGCAACTCTGCAGCGAGCTTGGTGCAGAGCAGCCTGAACACGGCCCCCTGCAGCCCTGGCCCCTCTGACCCTGCCAGACCCCCAGTCTGCACACAGCCCCTGGTTTTCTGGAGCCAGGGGTGCTGCCAGCTGCGGGGTGTCGCCGCAGGTGTGTGAGCAGTCGTGTGCTCGAGTGCGCGCCCTTCAAAGCGGCCACCTCACCGGGCTGCCAGACCTAGTTAGGCTCCCTTCGCTGAAAGCATTCTTAGCATTTGCTTCCAGAGTCTGCAGCTTCCTTTCAACTATCCTGAGTGACAGCAAATCATCTTGCTCTGTAGAAGGGTTGGATCTTTGAGAAATTGCAACAAGTAGTTCTGAAGGGGTAGTGATGATATAGAAATAAAATATTTGGTCTGAGACAGAGCAGTGGTGATCAAATGTCTGGTTCCAAACATATTCCCAGAAAGTTTTTAGGAGAAGCAGCAAGGCTGCAGTGAGGCGCCCACACTCACCTGGAACTCAGAGGCCCGCTGCACTGAGCACTCTACGTAAGCATGTGCGGGGCATCTGTCCGACTGCTCACGGCTAAGAATGAAAAGTGAAAAATGCATATTTGGATATAAAGCTGAGCACCAGCCAGATGTCGTCTGCGCGCTCCGCTCGTTAGTGTCAGCCGCACAGTGCAGCCCGCTGTGGAGAGTCGAGGTGCCCGTGTCAGATCAGAATTTCATGTCATCTGCTCTGCTGTCACATCTGCCCAGGGGCACTGTCTGAATGAGTAACTTCAGAGCCACAGATTTTGTCCTGTGCTCTGTCGTGCAGAGGATTTGTTTGGGATGCCAGGTGTTCACTGCTGGCCTGGCCTCTGGTGTCTTTGGCCCCAGGTCTAGAGGTTGACAAGTACCGGGGGACTGGTGGGGGTGCCTAGGAGGTGCCCTGTGGCCCCTGATCTCAAGGCAGCCTTGGTGCTATGTGGATGAGGGTGGGGTGGGGGGCAGGTGGCCCCTGAAGACGGTGCTGTGCCTGCAGCCCTGGGTCTGAGCCATGAGCAGACGATGGAGAAGTCAGGTCTGAAATGGTGGTTTCTCTCTGGGGCAGATGCCCCTGACTTCCCTCATCCCAAGGCCCAACCCAGGCTTTGCTTCCATGGCGGTCATGTTCTGCTCAGTCTACTTCAAATGAGACAGCTCCAAAGGCTGCCTGCACGAGCACTGACGTGTGACCAGTGGACACGGCCTTCTTGGGCCCGCCAGCCTCTGAGGGGAGGAGGGAGGGTCCTGAGGTACTGCCTCCCCCATGGCCGAGGACAAGGGCTCCCTGGCTGTGCAGGGGGCCCCTTTAGTTGCACCCTCAGACCTGGTGGAGGAAGAGGCTGGCGGATGTTTCAGAGCGGGGTGGAAGACCTGCAGGTCCTGCCAGAGGACACCTCTGAGGTCTTCTTACAGCAGCTCCAGTTTCAGGGGCGGAGCATTCAGCCCAGCCCTCCCTGGGGCCGGCCTCTGCCAGGCCTTCAAGTCTGCACTGGCTGATGTGTGCGACCCTGGGTGCCCTTGGCTGCCCTTGGCCAGGAGATGGCGGCCCAAGGTCAGCGTCAGGAGCACCAGAGGGTGGCTTGCCGGGAGGCGGCCCGAGGCAGCGCCACTGCCACCCCTGCGGAGCCTCAGGGTCATCCAGCTGAGTAGTGAGTGCTGCTTGCTCACAGTGGCCCTGCTGATTTCATCCCGTGACCTCTGTGAGCCCCTCTGAAGCAGAGCCACAGTCTAGGGAGGGAACTTTGTTTTGTGGCCCAGAGCTGCCCCTCTCGGGGAGCCCTGACTGCTGTCTAGTGCCGCTGACCCAGCTAGCCCGGTCCAGCCTCTGCAGAGTGAGCACAGCCCAGCGAGGTGAGCGCTCTCTGCTAAGGCTTTTTCTTACTTTATTTTGAAAATGGCCTGGGAATGTGCACGTCTCAGGGAAGTCCCTGGGTTCTCATGGCAGTTGCTTTGTAGTGTCCCTTGAGATTGGTACCTTGTGGCTTCAGAAGCTGAGGCAGGTGTGTGTTAAAAGCCGCAACTTCACTGGAAAGGAGCCTTTGAGTCAGAACTAACCTGGAGAAAACAAAACACAGTGTCACACAGCCAGCGTCAGGCCTGGCAGGAACTTCCCATCATCCTTGGGGGCGGCTGTGTCGCCAGCATCGGCTGTCACCCCACACTCGCCACCACCCGTTCTTCCCATTCATCCCATTCGTCCATCCACCTGGCCACCGCTGCACGGTCACGAGTCACTGTGTTGTGTGTGGACAGCATCACACGCCTGCCGCCTCCTTGTCACGCATGCGCACAGAGGAACTCTTCAGGCCCACGCCCCTGTGACTCTGCCCCGGGGGCTTGGTGCCCAAGAGTAGGGGACAGGCCGACCCCAGTCTTGCATTGGCCTCTTTCTGGGCGAGCTGGAGAGAAGGCTGGTGGGGGGTGGGGGAGGAACTTCCTCTGGCGGCGCCTGGTGTCAGACCTGCTGCCATGTGACTGCCTCGTTCAGTTGCAGGCCCAGGGCGTATTGTCTGGCAGACAGTGATGAGGAGTCCTCCAGTGCTGGCTCCTCCGAGGAAGACGATGCACCAGAGCCCAGTGCCGGAGACAAGCCCCTTCTCCCAGGGGCTGAAGGGTGAGTGGATCCAATTTCTCAGGTCCCCAGAGGTCAGGGCAGCAAGTTGGGAGGGGGCTTTCTTCACTCTTCCTCTGTGATCTTGTTTCCTTCATTTTGAGTAAATGAGTTTAACAGTAATAAATCTGAAACATGCATTGATAACCCAAATCCCAGACCCTGCAGTGAAAAAGATCTGTGTAGCTTTCCTTCCGAGAGTCCAGACTGAAGTGACTTTCACAGGCTGAGGATACAGGAGCCGGCGCCCTGGCCGGGGCCCAGGCGGGCGCAGGCTGTGCAGCAGCTCCCCCTGGTGCCCGGTGCGAGGGTGACGCCCTGCAGGCGCCCGCTGCTCCAGCTGGGCCATGGCTTCCTTGAGGGCGAATCCTCAGGTGGTGTCTAAAGAGAATTTTGAACTTGTGGGTCACTTTTGTATGGTGAATTTCACCTCCAGGGCTCAGTTTGCCTGTTACTTGGGCTGTGGAACACTCAAAGAGCTTACTAAGGGGCGTTTAATTGTTAAAAGTGAGTTGAAGGAACTAAGATTATAAAGAAGCCAGGTAGGTGATTCTGAAGCTTTGGTAGTAAAATCCCACCTGTTTTCTTTGAAATCTGCAGAAGGTAAAGAAAATCAAGATGCGTGGGGTTGGCCCTAAAGTTTGTGTGCAGTGACTTTAAATCTGCCCACTTGACCCCCTGAAGAGTGGTGGTTCCCCCTACACGTGCAGGTGCTGTTCCTGGCCCTGGTACTGGGGTTTCCAGGCAGATGCCTTGGGGCCGCGTGTGCGGGCTGTGGCCTGCAGCTCCCCCATGCTTGGCCTTCGCGTTGGCAGGCGGACGTCCGAAGAGCCGCTGCCACTCGGCGGGCCCGAGGCCTCCTGCGAGGCGGTCCGCCCGCGCCGCTGTGTCCCTGTCACTGCACATGACTGCATGCGTGTCGTGTCCGCCCCTGCTGGGACACCGCGGTCACACGCGCGTCTGAGGGGAATGAAGGCGACGGGCGAGGCGGCTTCCAGTGGGCAGCGGGGAGCTGGCCCCTGCCTGACGTCACTGCTGCCGCTGAAGCTCTAGTTCCCAGCTGGGGGTTGCTTTGTCCTCCAGGGCACAGCGGCAGTGTCTGGGGGAGCGTGCGTCTGACACCACCCCGATGGCTTCTGTCCACAGGGGCAGGAAGCCGGGTCGAAAGTAAAGTGAACCACGAGCCTTCAAGTTTTTATTTGTGAAGGAGCAGTTTATCCTCATTTGTGTCCTTGTTTCAAGGTATGTTGGAGGTCACCGAACAAGTAAGATTATGAGGTTTGTTGATAAAATTACCAAATCGAAGTATTTCCAAAAAGCAACGGAGACAGAATTCATTAAAAAGAAGATTGAAGAAGTCTCCAACACCCCGCTGCTGCTCACCGTTGAAGTACAGGAATGTAGGGGAACCCTGGCTGTCAACATCCCACCTCCCCCAACTGACCGGATATGGTGCGTAGACGGTTCCTGGGGGGACCAGCAGGAGCCCCCCTTGTTGCATGAACATCAATACCCAACCTCCTTACTCCCGAGAGTATGGACAGTGGCTTCCCCGAGGCGGACAGACATGTAGACTGGGTTTTCCCTTCTTTGAATGGTTAATTCACATTTAAAGATTGACCTCACATTAGGAAAAGTTGATGGGACAAGCTACTCCTGTTCTTGGTGATCTTCCCCTCTCACGCCGACCCTTGGCACCCGTAACAATAGCTGCTGTCGTGGAGCTCTGAGCCACTGCCTGGCCTGGGGGGTGACTGCTTCACCCGGTCAGTCCTCACTGCTTCTGTGGCAGTAAGTGCCTTGGCCACCTCCACTGGGAAGATGGGGATCGTGCGTCCAGCAGAGCCCCGGGTTTAGGAAGCGCTTCTGGGGTGGGGTCAGACATCGTGTTCAGGGCAGGGCCATGGGCACTGGGTAACCGTGGTGGGGGTCTTTCCAGAGCACGGTCATGGGATGAACCAGGCATTCTCAACCCGCCTGCGTATCACAGTTCACCTGGGGACTTGTTAAAAGTACAGAGATGCTCAGCCCAGCCCCTAGGATTCGGGGTCTGGGGGACTAAGCCAGGCATGAGAATCACTGAATTAAATTATGCATAGGTATTGAAGAAAGTCACTGTGAATCTCAATTTACAGTGGACATTCAAGGCCCAGTGCGAAGTGTGTTAAGTCTATACAGTGAATGCTTGAGAGGCCTGATTATGCCACAGGCCACCCTGGTGAGAAGGCAGCGCTGTCCTGTCTCGGCATGGCGCCGGCACGCTGCTCGTGGCCTTAGCCTCCTGGAGGGCCCGTGGGAGGGTCACAGAGGACTTGGAAGTTGGATAACCATATGCTGCGGCTGGTGGTGTTTCCCAGTAAAATAAAAACACCTTTACATTTCATTTTTGAAATGTAATGTTTTCACTGTCCAAAAAAAATGGAAGGTTGGAGAAATTGAAAGAAAATAAAAAAGACCTGTAATCTGGCCATCCACAAATAACTGTTGATATCTTATTAAATAGTCTGCTAAGCCTAAAAAAAAATTATTTTTCATAGTAAGAGTTCATGTAAAATTTCTCCTCGTTCCCAAGTTTCTAGTTGCAAGTGCCCCACCTCTGGAATGTTCTTCCTAGCCGTCACTCCAGCATGGAACTGTTCATTGATCCATAAAGCTAACTATAGATACTGAGTGTCTAGAAATCTTTATAGAAATGTGACACATTGGTTGTAGTCCTAAGCACTGGCCCACAACTGAGCTTTTTTTCGGTAGTCTGATAGCCTGTGTGGAATATGAGATGAAGGAGCAGGTCACAGAACATCCTCTAGTGCGCGTGCCTAGAGGAGTGTGGGGAAAACTGATCTCACTGTGCTGGGTGGTTCTGCCTTGGGGGCGGGGAGAGTCTGGGAGAGGCTGTGTCTTTCACCTTCCGCCGCATACACTTGGTGTCTGCAGTGTGCACGTACCTCTTACTAGGAGCCAACCGCGATGGTTCTCCTTGCTGTTTTCGGAACAACAAAGCCAGTAAACAATGCCCAGGTCATGGACTCCCCAGAGCTGCCGCCTAGCTTTCGCAGCTTCAGAACTGTTCTCCAGCGTGGCGGCCTCACCCACGGCCAGGGCCAGGAGCTCACACGACATCCTGGCCACACTGCTGCTGGGTTTTCAGTGTAAGGGCATCGAGGTAGCGGCAGCAAGGGGCGTGCGTGCTCGGAAGTTGTCTGCTCTGTCTTTGCTTCTGACTGTGGTTGTTACTGGTCTCGTTAAGGTACGGTTTCCGGAAGCCACCATACATAGAGCTGAAAGCTCGGCCAAAACTCGGAGAGAGAGAAGTGACTTTAGTTCACGTGACTGACTGGATAGAGAAGAAACTGGAGCAGGAGTTTCAGGTACATCTGATGAGGTTATCTCACGTTTCATGGGAACTGCGGGCTCTGGGTAACATGGTGGGGGGAGAGGGATCTAAACTGGGGAAATCAGGTGAAAGCTGTGCACCCTCAGCCCAGGCAAGTGACAGGAGTAACATTTCAGGTAGTTTTTAAAACCCCGGAAACACCCACAAAATCCAAAGTGGTCTTCAGAGGAGAACCCAGAAGGCGGAAGACTAAAAACAAAGGCTATCTTGCACCAGTGCACCTCAGGGGAGGGGCCGCCCTCCTGCTGGGCTTCCCTGGACTCCCCAGAGTGGGGCCTGGTTTCCGTTTCAGAGACACCTCCCTACAGGCTCGGGGAGCTGCGCTTACCTTTATATGGCACCATCTCACTCGGTTTGTGCAGCTCAACAGAAACCTACCCAGGGCCTCGAAAGCTACAGCAGGCCTGTCCCCCCCTCATCTGCCTGGAGGTGACAAAGCCAGGACTCACTTTGGCGTTTGCCACCAAGAATGTGGTGTAGCTGAGGCCCTGGTGAGCTGTTTCTATCAGATTTTCATCACTTACCGATTTTTCAAGGCCTTACAGATTAGCAAGCAATTTAACTTCCTTTCTCACGAAGTCCCTTTTGAAGAAGACCCAGGTTTTATAGTGGTATCTTTTGAGTTAATACCTTCACAAAATGATGGTCTCCTTATTTAAAAGCTAGGGATAATATAATTCATAACCAATTTCTGTAAAGCTTCATGTCACTAAATAGAAAATTGAATCTAGCTAGGGCAGAGACCACCTGATGTCTTCAGTGCTCTTGCTTATGTTCCTCAACCCTACACTAGGGTGTGAGCCTGCTCTTTTAGGGGTATTGGGATAAAAGGAGCACAAGAAGGGGGAGGCAAAAAAATGGTGCCTAGTATTTTTGAAGCAAGTTGGGGGCAGAAAGGGTCACAGCCGCAGCTCCCATGGCCCGTTTGCTTTTATACCTCGATGAGAGCATGTCTCAAGGTTGACTGACTGTGTGGCCCAAGTGCATTTATGTCAAACTGGGTTATAGATAGATAGGCAGGGATTTTGTGACTAGAAGTAAAAAGTATAAATTCACTGGGAACAGGTTTCCAAGTTACAGGACCTTGGAAATAACCTGCAAGCAACGTAAGCCAGTTCTCTTAATGTTGGATGTTAGTTCTTGAGTAATCTTATCATGTACATGAAACCAAAGGCTGCTTCTGCCCCAGAGCTGACTTACTGGGCTCTTACGTTCATGCACTGATTCCTCAGCACTTGCCGAATCAGAGCATGGGAGAGGGACTCGTTTGGAATGTGTAGAACTTGCTGTCTGTGTTACTACTTGACAGAATGGGGCATTCTTGCACATGACTGCTTTCTCCCCGCAGAAGGTGTTTGTCATGCCAAACATGGATGATGTTTATATCCCTATAATGCACTCAGCCATGGACCCTCGCTCTACTCTCTGCCTCCTGAAAGACCTGCCCGTAGAGGCTGCCGACCAGCTGTGATGAGGAGAACTGGCGCTCGCAGAGCAGTATTACCAGACGGGGCTCCCGGTGTGGGGGCTCTTGGCCGCCGTCTCTGCGGTAGCACCAGCCTCTCCTTGTGCCACAGCTTCTGCCCTCTGCCTGCTGGTGCCCACCCCACTGTGGTGTCTCTCCACGCGCTCAGTGACTGCTACCTGGATTGCTCAGCCAAGGAGACCGGAAGGACCATCACAGCGGACCCAGAAATTTCAGGTGGTTCACAACCCCGCTCTCTGCTCGACAGAAAGAGCACATGGAGTAAGCTGTCCTTCTGGAAGGCTGCCCTTGCCTGACGCCAGCTTTTCCTCAGGCAGCCAGAGCAGGACTGGCCAGTCACTCCTGTGGTTTGTGTGATGGCAGCCTCCCCTGTCCAGAGACGGGCATTGTGGTGGGGGTGGCATTCTGTGTAGACCCAGCAACTCTCTCGTCATTGGAATTGGGCATTTTGGAAACAAGTAGCCATAGAACACACAAACCAACACAGCTTGGGTGGGGACCACAGGGGTCACGTGAACACTAGGCAAAGCCATGAGATCAAACCATCCCAAGCCTTTACCAATGAGTACAATCACCTGGTTTGTAATCCTGTTTTCCTGAGACATGAGCTTTTGTGGAAATGTCAAACTCACACGTAATGACCAGTGGTGGGCCAGGAAGCCAGAGCAAGTCTTCCCACTGGGGCCTCCTGCAACTCGGGAAGCTCTGTGGGGAATCTTAATGCTACATTAATGGAATTGTTTCAGGGTAGTTTTGAGGGCAGTTTCCCTTTCTGGTGGCCAAAACGGAGGAACTGCTCTTTTAACTATCAAGGTGAGAATCAAGACCAAATGTTTGCTTGACATCAAACACTACAAATCTCAAAATTAACATGCGACTTTTCTTTAATGTTGCCAACTTCATTTTGTGCGTTTGTGTCATGATATAGTTTACAACTTTGGGGGCTCTAATTGTATAACTTGCTTTGAGAAGTTAAAAAAAAAAACTTTTGTTTAAAATTGCTTTCAACATCAAAATTACCTTTGGGTGTCTTTTGATAACTTACATTTGTGGACAAAGCTAATCGTGGTTTTTTAAACAGCACCTTGCCTGAACATGACTTTCAAGAAACGAGTCTGAGTCTTATCAAAAAAAAAAAAAAATTTCAACCCTTAATTTGAGTCCAGTGGCACCATTAAAACATGAAATCATTTGACCATTCCAGTGTACTGTTCTGATTTCTCATTGTGTAGGCCAATTTGCCGTCAGTCCGCATGTCTAGTTCACTGGTCTTTATTTCTGTGCAATAACTAAAGGTAAAGGACTAGATGCACTACTGTGTAGATTCCACGACTGTACTCTATTGCACTTAATCAAATAGTATGTGGGGATTTACGATCGCTTGCATCGTTTCACAAATAAATATCTCATGTCAAAAAACAAGCATCTGTACTGAGTCCTGTTTGCACAATAGGGAGGACCCCGGGGGCCCTCGGCAGCCCAACCGCCCCGCCCGGCAGGCTGGGCCCACAGCCCCTGCAAGTCACTAGGTGCCCAAGCGCTGTGCGTCCTTGTCCTTCAGCTTCTGCAGACACCTCACCCAAGCACAGGCGAGAGCATCGTTATCTTGAACTGTGGTTTTATCATAGGGGTGCACCTGTATTACCCCCAGCGGTGATAAGTCGAATCTCTTAAGCTCTGGTACTAGTTATGCAAGGTACCTGGACCCAATAACCTTACCAAGCTTCACCTCACGGTAGGCCCATCACACCCCGGAGAGCAGTCGCGCGGAATGCGGCTCGTGTAGACAGGCTACCCTATCGGTGAGTTAAACTCACGCCGCTCAGACCGCGGCCCGGTCGTCTCCCCCTGCTGAGGCCGCCCACGAGTCACTTATCACCGTGAGGGCGTCACGGTGAGGACAGCAGAAGCGGCTGAACCAAGCGGTGGCAACCCTGGCAGCAGCGGTGTCGCTCGCGGTTAAAAGGGCCGCCCGCAGGGCGCAGGCGGCCCCAGTTATGCGCGAGCTCATGCTCTGGCGCCGCAGCCTGACCCCCGGGGCCACGCGCAGGCCGCGGGGGCTCAAAGGCAGCGCGTCGCGACAAGACGGACTGGAGACGGACACACGGTAAGGTCAGATCACTTTATTGGGGGCTTCGAGGGAGGGCAGCAGGGAGGGGGAGCCGGGACCCGACGTCTTGGGGCGGCTGGAGACCTGCAGGAAGAGGAGCGCAGGGTGAGCAGGGGGCGCGCCCGCAGCCCGTCCCCTCCCGGCCGCCGCCGCAGCAGCAGCAGCAGCGGCCCGGCTCAGTCTCCAGTTCGCATCACTCTCATCAGCAGTCTAACGCGTGCTTTGGAAAGTCATCACCGCAGGCCGCCCGCTCCCGGACCCCCGCCCGAGACCGCCTCTGCGCGCCCACCCACAGCCTCACCTACCCAGCCGCAGAAAGACAGCGCACACGGCACGGCTCTCCCTTAAAGGAGCCGGCCAGCCGTGTTGGGCGGGATTTACCGCTATTGCCCAATAGAAAGCCGCGCTTCTGGCCACGTGTTTGTAATGTAACAGTGATTGGCCGGGCTCTCCGAGTCATCCAGGGTATAGAGTGGCCCCATACCGACCATCGAGAGGGGCGTCTAGGACGGCCAGAGAGTCGCGTGGGCGTCAGTCCTGCGGGTTTCTTCCGCGTCCCGGTCGCCGCGTGTCGCTGCTGCGTCTGCGGTGCGCACGGGGAATGGTTACGGGCGGGGAGTCCCCGTCTGTGCGGGATCCTTTGTGTGGGACTCCAGGGTAAACGCTGAGGGTGTGCAGATGAGCGAAGGCAGCGTTGTCCCCGGAGGCAGAGTGACCAGCCCTGGTGAATAGCCAGCGTCTCGGAAATGCGGCCGAGCCGTGACCGGTGATGACTTCGCGCCGTGACCTTGGCCGCGCAGCCTGGCTGAGCCTCAGTTTCTGGGAATCTGTAATATGTCAAAAAGCTGTTAGATAATCGGTGAAAACCACCGGGTACGTTGAGTGGTAAAGGAGCGTTTGTTTTTAAAGGGACGGTGTGGCATGGCAAAATCCTGCGATTGCAGCGCTTTAAAAAATTCCTTAAACAGGGCCGCCCTGGTGGCGCAACGGGTTGAGGCGCAGCACGGAGAAGCTGTCCGCAGCCACAGCCGCCTGGCTCGATCCCCTTCCCGGGAGCCGACCCACGTGGCGGCTCCCACGTGGCGCAGCAGACCTCTCCTGTCTCCCCCGCTGCTTCCCTCAGCAGTGTGCTGCAGTCAGTAAGCCTGCTCTGCGCCCCACCCTGTACCCCAGTGCTTGCATGCATAGGTAAATAAATCTTCAGTCATTTTTGAAGATTGCACTGGGGGAAGCCTAGAGAGCCCTAAGGGGAAAGTGGTGCTGCCGGACAGCTTAATTTCCTACTGGGGGAGAGAGCGGTATACTCAGTCTCTTTAATTTCTTTCATATGCTTTCCTTGGGAGTTATTGTCTTGGGAATAAGAAAAACACAACATAAAAAACAAAAGGTG